CTTTTACAGGATTCTCAAAAGGATCAATGGTCTGAGAATAGAACTGCTGCCTCGGGTTAAAGTTATATGTAAAAGGACTGAACTTACTTTAAAACAAGAACCATCCCAATGACTTATAGAAGATGTTAAGAGATACAAGGTAAATTGGAATAACTTCCCCTAAAAATAATGAAATCAGAAACTAGCATGAAGATTTACTAGTCTAAAACTATAATTAGAGTAAGTCCCATGTTTGTACATTTTTGTGTCTTTATCTAGGGCTTGGATAGAAAACTAAAACTAAAAGCTGGGCAATAATGGAAGCGTGTGTGTATGTGTCTGCAGAATGGTTATAATGACTCATGTTATATATTAACAGTACAGATATCTATTGTCATGCTATAGCAAATTTCTGAAGTCATTAACATTTGTTCAAATATCTATTATCCATTTTTTCTTTTTCTCTTCCTGATATTTATAAAGGATATCCTTTTAAAAAAATACAATTGTAACATGTCTCTTTAACAAACAGAGACTCTAACACCAAGCCACTCACACTTAGTCCTGTGATGTTAATGAATGAGAATTCCTTTTCCTAAATAGTCAAGTGAACAATTTCCTATCTTGATTTATAAAAAATTCAACAACCAATATGCCTTAAGAAAAGAAAAGCAGTTTCCATTTATTAAAGGTTATATCTGATGTCTAAGCCATATGACATAGTATCATTACATTCAGTTTAATGGGAGAAAAATGAACATTAACAAACACTGGTATTTTGTATCTAAAAGAAGTCAGGTGCAAAGCAAGGAAGGAAATGAACCTTGAATTTCTAGCCTAATCTAAAGCATTTAAACTATGATTTTAAAGTTGTTCTCCAATTAACTTATAAGTACCTAATTAGATAGGGATCTATACAGCATTTTCATAAGAACCATAGGAATTATGAAAAGAACTTCAATAATTAATAAGGATTAGAAATCCTTTCACAGTGTATGAGAGAAACCTTTCCCACAGCAACATCAAAGGAAAAAGATGCTGTAAAATGATGGACATTTTTCTATTGAGTTGATTATCCAGGCATAAAGGGTTGACAAGGGATTGACCTCTGTCACTGGGCTTGTTAGGAAAGGCCTGGATAAAGAAAATGTTATGTTAATGAATCAGGTGAGTGATGGAGGAATTACCCTCATACATACACTTAAACTATGTTTTTGAAACATGTATAAAACACACTTGCACACTCGCACGCGTACACACACTAACACACATTCTACCATTCCCTAAACACATCAGGTAAACCTTTCACTTTTAGTTATTTCAGTTCTAATAAGGAAAAACAGGATTTTCCAAACCAATGGACAGAAAAAAAATTAGGCTTTCAGAAATGTTCTTGCTGAAACTTATTAGAATTCCTGGCTATATGTTGAATTCAGTGAACAGGATAGTGAGGGAGATTTAGAAAGGGACTCTTTCCAACTCCACTCATGTTCCAGGAATATTAAAAATATAAGAAAAAAAAAGTATTTGAATGCTTGCCATTATTAAGGAATCAGAAAAGTACAAGAGAATCCATGACTGAAAATCCTGATGATGGACTTTTGAGAGTGTTTTAAGTTAAATTAATGGAAGTATTTAAAGAGATGCTGATGTTAATGCAAATAAGATTTTTCATTTAAAAATATCAACAATGTGACTAAACTCTCAGTATTAAATATCTTGAATGTCCTATTCAGGCTCAGTCTATTCTGAACAATTCTTAGTTTTCAAAGTATAAAAATATATGTCGGGCCGGCCGAGTGGCGCGATGGTTAAGAACTCGCTTGGGATGCCAGAGGGCCCCGGTTCGGATCCCACATATGAGGGCCAGTGACACTGCCCTCCACAGCTAAGATGCTGAACAACAGCTCAACCTGGAGCTGGGTGCCCTGAGTCACCGGCGACGGCGTGGGCTGCAGTCCCTGTGGCAGTGGATTGCCAGGGGCTACCGTGTGTGGCCAGCAGCCAGCGTGAGCGGCCAGCAGCCGCAGTGAGCGGCCGTCCAGAAGCCGGCGACTGATCTGCCTCGCCAGAGAAGAGCGCAATGATGGTGCCAACTTGGGCCAGTGAAGCAACATCCTCCACAACTAGATTGAAGAACAACAACAAAAAAAACGACAGCAACTTGTCTGTTCCCCTTTCCCCAATTCCCCAGCACTGTTCCCATCCCCCCAATTCCCCAATAAAAAATCTTAAAAAAAAAAATAAATAAAACTGGTTAATCCCTGATGGTAGTTGAAGGTATGTATATATTCCTTAAAAAAAAAAAAAAAAGTATAAAAATATATGTCATAAGCACAATGGAAATGAATTTAAACTCACAGCCCTCAAATGAATAGGAGAAAAATAACTCAGGAAGACAAGAAACAAATGTGAAGAAAAAAAAAGAAAACTAAACAAAAAACAAAAACCAATTTTACAGGCCTGTCAAAAAACATTAACAATAAGTTATAATAACAAAGAAAAAGACAATCTCAAAACTTCCTTTTTATTAACTACCTTGAACATTCATAATATTTTTCTATTTCTTACAGAAGGCCTCGAAGAAATCTATGATCAAACCTCAAATAATATTACTATAAAAACAATTTTTGACGAAAGACTAAATGCATTCCCTCTAAGATCAGGAACAAGGCAAAGATGTCTGTTCTTACCAGTTCTAGTCCACTCTGTACTACAGGTTTCAGCCAGTGCAGTCAAGTAAGAAAAACCAATAAAAGGAACCCAGAATGGAAAGGAAGAAGGAAAACTGTCTTTATTAGATGACATAATCATTTATGTAGAAAATCCTATGAAATCTACAAAAAAGCTACTAGCACTAATAACTGAGTATAGTAAAACTGTAGGATTCAAAGTAAACACATAAAAGTCTAATCTTTTTATTTACTACTAGCAATGAAAAATCAAAAGTTGAAATAAAAGAATTTTTTAATAGGATCACAAAATAAAATATTTACAGGTAAATTTATATTAATATGTCCAAGACCAGTACACTGAAAAAACAAATACTGCTGAGAGACATTATAGACCTAAATAAAAGGAAAAATATGTCTTCATGAATTGAAAGATTCAATAGTGTTAAGATGTCATTTCTCCTCAAATTGATTTATAGATTCAACATGATCCAAACCAAAATTCCAACAAGCTTTTCTATTGAAATTGACAAGATGATTCTAAAATTCACATGGAAATTAAAAGAACCTAGATTAGCCAAGACAACGTTGAAAAAGAACAAAGTTGGAGGATTTACACTACCGTCTTCATTACTTATAAAGCTACAATAATCAAGATAGTGGTGGTATTAATAAAAGCTTCAAAAAAAAAAGATAGTGGTGGTATTGGTGGAGGTGTAGTCACATATGTCAGTGGAATAAAACAGGGTCGAGAAATAGATTCACACATATATGGTCACTTGATTTTCAATAAAAATGCAAATGCAATTCAATGGTAGAAAAGTAGTCTTTTAACAAATGGTTTTAGAACAACTAGATATCCATGTGTCCCCAAAAAAGGTGGGTGGAAGAGAAGGACACTCCTTTATACCTTAAAATTTGAATCATATGCAAAAAATTAACTCAAATGGATTATAAACCTAAACGTGAAACCGAAAACTATATAGAGATTCTAGAAGAATCTTTTCTTCTAGAAAAGATTCATTTTCATATGAGAAAAATCTTTGTGACTTTGGGTTAGGCAAATACTTCTTAGATCAGCACCAAAAGCATGAACCATGAAAAAAAAAACCTAATAAACTTTATTTAATCAATATTGAGAACTTCTGCTCTTTGACAACCCTGTTAAGAGAATGAAAAGATGAGCCATAGCTGGGAGTAAATATCTGAAAATCACATATCTGATAAAGGACTTATTACTAGAAGATTAAAAAAATTCTCTAAACTCAACAGTAAGAAAACAAAATTCAGTTAAAAATGGCAAGATTTGAACACATACTTCACTTGAAATGTACAGATGCAAATAAACACATGAGAAGATGCTCAACATTATTAGTCATTACAGAAATGTGAATTAAAATTACAATGAAATACCACTACAAACCTATTAGAATGGCTAAACTAAAAAAGTCTGACCATACTAAATGTTGATGAGCATGTGAGAGAACTGGCAACTTACACCCTGCTGGTGGGAAAATACTTCAGTAGTTTTTTTGAAGTTAAACGTACGACTGCCATTTAACTCAGCCATTCCCATCTTGAAACTATATATCCATACAGAGATTTATATACAAATGTTCACAGCAATTTTACTTGAAATAGCCAAAAACTATATAATGGAATACTACTCAGCAGTAAAAAAGAATGAACTACTGATAAGTGCAACAACGTGGATGAATCTCAAAATAATTATGTTGAGTGAAAGAAGCTGAGAGGGGTTGGGGGACGAATACTGTATGATTCCATTTATATAAAATTCTGGAAAATACAAATTAGTCTATAATGACAAATTAATCAGATCAGCGGTCATCTGAGAACTAGGAGGGATAAAGGAAAGGTGGGGATGACGGTGATTTCAAAGTGGCACAGGGCAACTTTGGGGTGATGGCTTCATTATCTGGATTGTAGTGATGGTTTCAGAAGTGTAAGCATGTCAAAATTTATCAAATTGTATACGTTATATGTATAGTTTATTGTATTAATTACATACAATAAAGCTGTCAAAAAAATTTTAGGGCAAAAGGGGTAATCTGAGAGATTAATCTATGGCTCTAAACTGTACTCTTAACTAATCACTGAAGTACTTTGGTCAAAGTGAATTCTACTACATATGGGCAAGAATATTAAAATAATTCTTTACAAAGCTGAATTATTTCTTCAGCAGAAATATATACAAAAGAAATGAAATTAATCATTCACATTCACAAATTTTTGATATTTTGACGGTTATTTGCAGATTTTTGGTGGGCTTTCTAGACAAGTGAACTAACTACGTCTAGGAAAAGTATACTGGAAAATGAAAAATCATACCTTGATTTGTGCAAAGGGTCTTTCATAACCTCCAACATAGAGAAGGCCAACATTCTGAGGAAGTAACCTACAAAGAAAAGAAAAAGCATTCTTTTAAAATTACTTTTCCTTAAATGTAAGGTTATATAATCATTAAAAGATAACAGACAGATACTGTGAAAAATTAGTATCTATGCAATTGTTTTTTCTTTTTCACTATAGGGTAGTAACTAGCAAAGGAATAATCCTTATACTTCAAGAAATAGTGGGTAAGTATTGAGAACAAAAACTGAAATGCAGAACACTAACAGATTAGAAATTACTACACAGTGTCTCTGGGGGAGAACAGAACGTGATACCTATATTTAAAAATCTACAAGGATTCAATTCAAGAAACATTCACTGTATGTCTATACTTTGTACTAAAGGAGGTAATACAAACCTAAATAATTAGGTCCCAAAATTTGACAGGAAAACCAGACACATAAATAATTAACCCTAACTAAAGGCGGCCTCTAAAACATAAATAAATAAATAAATAAATAAATAAATAAATAAATAAATAAATAATAAAAAAGGTGGCCTCTGATAAGTGCTATTTATAAAGGTATTCGCCATTGCAAAGTAGTCGTACTTGCTATGTAAGAGGTACTTGCTATGAGGGAGCTGGAAAAGTCTAAATTTAGGATTTGGGCTTAGCTTTAAAGGGTGGATAAGGCAAAGGAAGAAATTTAAACAAAGTCCTAAGAATGCAGATGATTTGAGACAAAGAGTAGACAAGTATGACTGGAGTATGGATAATTTAGTTGGAGATGAAAACCCAAAGGAAGTTTTGAATGGATCATGAATGTCAAATGCTGTTATCTTTTATAAGCAATATGGAGTCATATTTTTATAAAATAAGATGTATTTATTTCTTATTAAAAGAAAATACACATGAAAATAAAAATCAAACCATACAGGGAGTGGGAAAAAACGTTATGGTTATCTTCCCTGAATCATCCCTCCCTTCCTATTCCCACTTCAAAGAGGTTCATCATTCTTGACTGCATTAAACACTGTGAAAGCCGGATGGCTCAGGGGTTAGAGCACGTGCCCTTAGCAACAAGGTTTCCGGTTCAAATCCCACATGGGATGGTGAGCTGCGCTCACCCGCAACTAAGATTGAACATGGCACCTTGAGCTGAGTGAACTGAGTGGCCGTGAGCTGCCAACGGGCAGCCTGATGGTGACAGGACTTGGAGCTGAGCTAGCTGCACCCTCCATAACTAAGATTGAAGGACAACAACTTTGCTGTTCCCCTTCCCAAATTCCCCAATAAAACAAACAAACAAACAAAAACATTGTGAATGAAGGCATACCATCATTAGAACTGTGCTTGTGGAATGTATAGTGCTACATGGTAGAGGAAGAGCATAATTAAATATTCTTGTGTTTATCTCATCTTTCTTTTTTCTTTGTTTAAATTGGGGAATTGGGGGAGGGGAACAGCGCTGGGGAATCGGGGGAAGGGGAACAGACAAGTTGCTGTCCTTTTGTTCTTCAGTCTAGTTGTGGAGGACTCGGCTTCACTGGCCCATGTTGGTATTATCATTGTGTTCTTCCCGGGTGAGGCAGATGGATCGCCGGCCTCTAGATGGCCGCTCAAGGTGGCTCTTGGCAGCTCACACTGGCTGCTGGCCACTCACGCTGGCTGCCAGCCACACACGGTAGCTTATGGCAGCCCACTGCAGCAGCCTACGCCATCAAAGGGGACTCACGGAAGCCCAGCTCCAGGTCGAGCTGTTGTTCAGCATCTTAGCTGTAGAGGGCAGTGTCACTGGCCCTCAAGTGGGATCCGAACCGGGGCCCTGATGCTCAGAGCTGGCATCCCAAGCCAGCTCTTAACCAACGCTCCACTCAGCCGGCCCTTATCTCATCTTTCTTTTATCACCACTCCCTAATGGACACTGAATCAATGGACACAACTCCAGTCTTAACATTACTGTACATAAAGAATGTGAAAAAAAATTGCCTATACTCTTTCCCCCCAAAATTAGGCCAACATGCAGTCTCCTCAGAGTCTAGATAGTGAAAGCTAATAGCCTTTTATGGCATGTAAAATATTATCTCTAGGATGAATGCAAATTCTATTGCATGAATCTAAGAATGGAAAATCGAGTAGTATCTAAAGTGAAGGAAAAAAACTGCAAACTCAAAACAATCAAATGGAAAATTTTCAGTGTATCATACTGGTCTAATAAAAAAAATTATAACACAAGATTATCATAACTATCCTTCTAAATTCAGTTAGTAATTTCAAAAATCCTACTTCAACAATTCCAGGATATGCATTTATTCATATTTTAACTTCTCTGAAATTAGGAGGCCCTGATACTCTATGGTGTCATATAATCATTGTCATAGGGTGACAGTTGTGAAGTGGCTATGTGATTACCTTCTACTGACTCAGTCTAGTAAGACTAAGACAATGCACTCTAATTGCCTGACCACTGCACTGTACACCTGAAGTTGAAGCTGAATAATAATGAATGTCAACTATAATTTAATATACATATAGTCACAGGATGTGGAGTACAGCATAGGGAATAGAGTCAATGGAATTGTAACAGCTATATACGATATCAGAGGAGTAGTAGATTGGGGGAGGGGGTTATCACTTTGTGAGGGGTGTAAATGTCTAACTATTACATTGTTTTGTACACCTGAAACTAATAGAAAAAAAAAAGCACCTTAGATTTTATGAAATAAGGTAGTGAGTTTCCCAGGAACATCATGTGTTCCCCAACATTCTTTAAAGGCCTATAAAGCATTAAAGGCCATTAAAAGAATGTTAACAGCTAATGAACACAATCCTGAATTAAACCAATTTAGCAAAAAAGCTACTTAAGTTTGCAATATAAATAATACTGCATTTTAGCATGTTGTTTAAGGTTATAAACATGACTAAAGGCATTTGTTTACTGGATGCAAGTAGAAAGCATAGGAGTGTCCCCAAATCTCAACTATGAAATGGAAAATTTCTTAGCCGTTAATTGACAAATAAGAAATTAATCCAACCAACAAAACTTTAACTCACAAATCATTGCTAATATCATAAATTCAATGTTAGGTAAATAAAGCAGTAGTAATTTATTTCCTATATAACAAGTATTCACAAAAACTTTGATAAATCCCTTTAGCAGTAAGAATAGTCATTGTTCATACAAATAGATGCTAGAAAAAGAAGAGAATAAAAGCTAGGCGACATTTAAAAACCAATATGCCTCTAATTACTATGCATATGTATTTCAGGAAGCTTGACAAAAAATACTATTTGGGGTGTCCCCCTTCCTCTAACTTGCATGTCTAAAAACCACCTTTTCCTAAACAAGAAATTTCTTAAATATATCAATCACAGAGCATACATATATTTCACTTCTTAAAAACTGTTCTTTCTCATTCATGTGCCTATTATTCCTTACCATAGATTATACTAACCACCACCAATTGAGTGGGTTTTAATATGTATCATAATTTAAAGGCCTGCTATGTGTAAAATAATTAATACTTTGAGAATACAAATTCCCACTTTTAAGATGAGACATTTCTTAAAATGATTTTACCTTTCAAAAAATTATTTTGCCAAACTGTATACATAATTATTGTCATATAATGGCCTCTATTTTATGATGACAGGGTACTTGTGTATAATACAGCAATCACATTTCAAATCCCCATAGTAAGGCATTAATTCAGACTGATAAATGCATTTATATGAATATGTTAAAATGGAAACCCAGATTCATTTAGTACCAGGTGTTTTGCCCTTAAGTTACGTAAGCATTAACATAACCATTATATAAATGCTAACTAAGAACTCCTAAAATATCTGTTTGTAACTAAATACTTCTATAGCGTGGCTACCAAAGAGGCTCTTTTTGGAAAGCAGCAATAAGACACTGTTGGGTTAAAATCAAAACAAACAAAACTGAATCTATTAGAGCTTTTGAAAAAGTAAACATAGGCAAGACTAATTTCCTAAATACAAATAGTAACAAATAACTATACTGGAAAGAAAGCTGCAAAATTATTTCCAGAAAAGTTTCTCACATAAAGGAAAAAAATAAAACTTGTCAGGTAATAAAATAAACATTATTTAAAAGAACCTCATTCATCATAAACTGGTGATAGATAGAAATATTGCTTTAAAAGACAACCCAGAAAATAATTATTTCCAATTCAAAGTTTAAAAAAAGGGAAAGGGGATCTTTTTAAAAATAAGAAGCTAAATAACTCAAAATTAACTGTTCCGTCTACAAGTCATAATTACAACACCCAGTAAAAGATATATTTTTAAACTGCAACAAAAAAAAACCTAGAAAAGATTTACAGTATCTTGAGTAGTGACTTACATAAAACCCCACTTCATAGCTAACAGCAAGTTCTCCAAACAGCAGACTACAACTAACATATCTACTGCTAGAAAAAAACAGATAAAAGAAATGCACTTAATATGGGATCAATAGTGCCTTTTTGAATTTGAGAATATGCATATTATTGAGAAGGACTACATTCTTTGAGACTTCCAGTAGGATGTAAATAAAAGTAAGGTGTGCCCTTAAGCCCAGGTAAAACTTGGATCAGCCAACGAGTAAATTTATTATTATTTTTAGAGACTTTTCAAAGCCTATACTTTTCTATTCTAGTTTGCATTCTAAACCCTAGTACAGACATAACAAATGCTCTAGAATTTTGTAAAAAACAAAAACACAAAACCAGCATCACCACCAATAACATGTTAAAATAAAGAATCTGTGTGCCAATAGAAACAAATTACTGAAAATGATGTTTGGTTAAGTGAAATATATATTGAGTGCACTAAATACAAATAAAAAAGACTAGAGAAAGATAAATAAGATGCTGAAGTAAACAACAGAAAGCTGAATCATTTTGCAAAGGTATATAGGAAGAGATGCTAAGCTACCAATATTAAGAGACTAAGTGCCTTATCTTACACCATACACAACAACCAACTAAAAATGGTTTAAAGACTGAATATAAGACCTGAAACCATAAAACTCCTAGAAGAAATCATAAGGAAGGGGTAAGCTC